AACCCAGAAAGTTATCTTTTAAAAAGAAGAAATATTTGAATAAATAGAAAAAATTTTAATTTCTGTAAATCCTGAACCAATGAAAAATATTAAATGGCAAAGAATACTATAAATAAAATCAAAAGATAAATAATAGATGTGGGGAAATATATAAATGTAGAAGGCAAACAAAGGGTTAATGTTGAGAATAAACAGAGAACTTTTACCAGTTGACAAGAAAAAACAAACTGTGTGAAAAGAATGTTTCCAGAGGAGCTCATCAAATGACATGTCCAAGCATGCTAAAATTCAACAGCAGTCAGATAAATGCAAATTAAAGTAAAATGATTTGTTATGCGTTTGTTGCCAGTGGAGATGTGGAGGAGAGTGCTCATACTTTGCCAAGAGATAAAATGAAGTGTTACACCTTTCTGAGGGGAAGCAATCTAACATCTATTTTTTTTTTTTTTTTTTTTTTGGAGTTAGAGTCTCACTGCATTGCCCAGGCTGGAGTGCAGTGGCATGATCACAGCTCACCACAGCATTGACCTCCTAGGCCCAGGTCATCCTTCTCCCTCAGCCTTCCAAGCAGCTGGGACTATAGGAATGTGCCACCATATCCAACTAATTTTTAAAAATTTTTGTTGAAACAAGGTCTTGCTGTGTTGCCTAGGCTGGTCTTGAACTCCGGTGCTTAAGCAATCCTTTCACCTTGGCCTCCCAAAGTGCTGGGATTACAGGCATGAGCTACTGCCCGTCCCCAACCAACATCTATTAAACTTTAAAATACAGGTACCTTTGACCAACATATCCTATTTCTGGGACTCAGTCTAATGAAATAAAAGTGCCAGTGCATAAGCTCATGTGCTTGAGGGAAAATGGGAAAGAAGTTGAGTGTCTCTCAGTGAAGAGCGAATGAACAAATCATGGTACCTGCTCACCAGGGCATAATAGACATAGCTGAGGGCTGAACAAGACTGCTGTCTTGCTTTTATTTTTATTTTTATTTTTTGAGTTGGAGTCTCTCTCTGTTGCCCAGGCTGGAGTGCAGTGGCACACTCACGGCCACCGCAACCTTGACCTGCTGGGCTCAGGTGATCCTTCTGCCTGAGCCTTCCAAGTAACTGGAACTACAGGCACGCACGCCATGCCCGGCTACTTATTTGATTTATTGTGGAGATGAGGTCTCGCCAAGTTGCCCAGGTTGGTCTCGAACATCTGGGCTCAGGTGGTCCTCTCACCTCAGCCTCCCAAAATGCTGGGATTATAGGCGTGAGCCACTGTGCCCAGCCCTGTTTTGCTTTTTAAAAAACCTCATGCTTATTACCGTTTGATATGATAGATTTACTTATTCTCTGTCTACTCTATTGAAATGCAAGCTCCATGATAGTGGGGACCTTTTGTTTCTTGTAAGCCTAGGTCATTGCTGGGGATATCATAAGTGCTTGATAAATGTTTGTTGAATAAATCAGTAAATGAATGAGTGGGGATTGGGAATGAAGGAACCTTTCATGGACCAAGAGTGACAGTTTGCCATGAAGTAAGAGAGTACGATTAACTCATCTCATTTATCTGAAATTCAGATTAGACAAGAAAAAGGTTTTGTTAGGGTGACTGGAACTTACTGACACAATGAATTACAAGAACCCACACTAGACTCATCATTGAGACTTCAGCTCATTTAAGATAAAGAGAAGACCCAGAAAACTTCAGAGACACCGTTGATACATGAAGGATTGGAAACCAGAAAAGCATCTGTTTTCTCCATTGTAATACCAGAATCAAGACAACAGTGAAGCAGTACTTTCAAATTCTAAATAAACAATTCCCAATCTAGAATTTTCTACCCAGCCAAAGACATCTTCAGGGCTAGGTATGGTGCTCATGCCTGTAATAAGAGCACTTTGGGCTGGGAGTGGTGGCTTATGCCTATAATCCCAGCACTTTGGGAGGCCGAGGTGAGAAGATTGCCTGGGCTCACGGGTTCAAGACCAGCGTGGACAACTTGGCGAGATCTCATCTCTACAATAAATTAAAAAATTAGCTGGGTGTGGTGGCATATGCCTGTATGTGGTTCCAGCTACTTGGAGGGCTGAGGCGGAAGGATCGCCTGAGCCCAGCAGGTTGAGGTGGCCGTGAGCATGCCACTGCACTCCAGCCTGAACAACAGAGTGAGACTCCTACTCAAAAACAGAGAGCACTTTGGGAGGCCAAGGTAGGAAGATTGCATGAGTCCAGGAGTTTGAAACCAGCTTGGGTAACATAGTAAAAACCCCAACTCTATAGAAAAATGAAAAAATTGTCCAGGTGTGGTAGTGCGTGCTTGTAGTTCCAGTTACTTGGGAGACTGAGGTGGGAGGATCACTTGAGCGCAGGAGTTAGAGGCCTCAGTGAGGTATGATCACACTACTGCACTCCAGCCTGGGTGACAGGGTGAGACCCTGTCTCCAAAAAAAAGACATTTTCAAATACAAAGATTTCAAAAAACTTGCACCGGTGTGTCACATCTCAGAAGCTACTAAAGGATGTTCACTGTAAAGAAGTGGTAAAGATGCAAAGAGGAGGATGGAGATCTGACCCAGGAGCAAGTAAAGGGTGTGTCCCAGGATAACATCTAAGGGCAGTCTCAAAGACAGCTGGGTACCAGTCTAGAGATTGCACTAGAGGGCAGAATGCTCCAGGAAGGAAGTTTCCAAAAGTCAGAGTGGAACCTGGCATCTTTGGCTCCCATTGAAATGAATTTTTCATTATGTCAGAACATTTAGGGGTGGACTGTGACACCCTGAAATCTAAGTAAGTTAAAAAAAAAAAGCAGCTGTTAATTTCCGGGGAAATAGTTATACAAGAAAGGAATTATGATCATAGGAAACATAAAAATGCAATCATGTGGTCTAGCTCTGAACTACGTTATTGTAGTCTTAAGGGAAACATTGATTTAATTAGAATTTGTGATATAAGCATATTAGGAGAGTGGGGGTAAAGAAAGCATGTGCATTTGTGTGTATTGGGGGGAATGAGTCACCTGCCAAAGGCAGAAACAGTAGATAATGTCTCAGCTGTCTGTGTCTATTATATTTTCTTTACTTTTCTGTATTTTAAAAAAGTTCACAACTTTTTGAAAAGAAAATTTGGCAAATAGCCATGTACACAAAAGACCAGTGACCCATAATCACATCACTCAGAAATAATCACCATCCTGCCAGTTGAGTCAGCGATGAGTCTGTAGCCTTGTAACAGGGTGAAGCCAGGAATTGTCCATGAGCAGAGCTGCAACAGTGTGTCAGTCAGGAAGGGGGAGTTACTCCAGGAATGGGCGAGGAAGGAAGTGGCTGCCATCTTTATAGTTCTACTGCCCTGACCAAGTGTCCATTCTAAATGTACATGTCCACCCATCATATAATAGTGTTTTCTAGTCCAAGTGAGACTGTTCTTTCAGTTGGAGAAAGGTAGAGGTAGTCCCAGTGGGAAGGCCAGAAGTGCTGGCTGCTTAGCACTACCTGATCGTGCCCCGCCCCCCCTCTAGTGGGAGCCAAAGGGAAGGTTGGCTAGTGGGTTACTGCAGATTGAGGAGGTGGCCAGGACAGGTGCTCCCACCTCTCTCTACTGTGTGCCTGTCACCAGCCACCAGTGGTCATGTCCTGGGTTTCCCAGGTGAAGTGACAGGCAAAATTTTAAAAAGAAAGAAAAAAGAAAACAGGAAACTTGTTTTTGAGAGAAGGCAGGAGGAGAGATGAGAAAGTGGTTTGGATTTTGTAAAGGGGGCTTGGGGATTTTTTTGAGTAGTTGTCTGTACCTTTCCTTAAGTGTTTCCCGCCCCCCCCCCCCTTCCTTTTGTATTTTTAAGTTGCGGCTTTGGCTTGGAAAACCCCAGGGGGAGGTGGGGCAGAAATCTGAGACTGTTGCCCCTTTATCTGCCTTCGTGGTGTGTCCCCTCCCCCCAGCTCCTCCCTGTCCCCAGGAGCCAGGCCTCAGACCTTTCAGCTAGCCACTTCCAATAAGCCACTTCTGTCAGCCTGTAGCCAAATGAGCTGGTGCCAGACCTGGTGACCAACCCTTTTCAACCTTCTCAATCAGCCTGAAGGCGGGAAGCAACATTAGCCCTGTCTGCTGTCATCAGCACCTTCCAGAGCCTACTTCCCTGCCTTGCCCTGCTCTGCCCTGCCCCACCTAGGGGTGTTCTGCTCTGGGATGGACCGAGAGGGCTGCACCCAGCCTCCCTGGTGGGAGACTCAAGAAACCTCTGGGATTCTGTTTTCTGGTCATGTGATCCCGGGGGTCTATATGGGACCCTTGAGTATCTGAACAGAAGGGCATGGGAGCAAGGGCCACTCCCCTGCCGTCTCGCTCTGCTGCCTGCCTCCCCTCATCTTGTACCAGGGGCTCCTGAGCAGATTAAATGCTTTCTAGATTGTATTTTAAATGCCTTTTTAAACTTGTCAAAAAAGGATCACTTGGCGTCCTGGTATATCTCCTCTGATAGACACATAAGTATATATTCATACATATGTAAGTACCCAAAATTTGTATGTAAATTTACTATTATGAAATTCGGTGGCTGGGACAGGTGCGCCCACCTCTCTGCTGTGTGCCTGTCACCAGCCACCAGTGGTCATGTCCTGGGTTTCCCAGGTGAAGTGACAGGCAAAATTTTAAAAAGAAAGAAAAAGGAAAACAGGAAACTTGTTTTGAGAGAAGGCAGGAGGAGAGATGAGAAAGTGGTTTGGATTTTGTAAAGGGGGCTTGGGGATTTTTTTGAGTAGTTGTCTGTACCTTTCCTTAAGTGTTTCCCGCCCCCCCCCCTTCCTTTTGTATTTTTAAGTTGTGGGCTTTGGCTTGGAAAACCCCAGGGGAAGGTGGGGCAGAAATCTGAGACTGTTGCCCCTTTATCTGCCTTCATGGTGTGTCCCCTCCCAAAGTGCTGGGATTGCAGGTTTGAGTCACCGCACCCAGCCCCTCATTATTTTTTGTACCTGTAAGTTCAATTGTGTGAGACTTCCTAAGTGGTTGTTTTTTGTCTCCAGGAAAAGAGAGGGAACAAACCATCTGATAAAGCCACTCTCTTGGCCTTTGATGCCCTGGTGACCTTCTGTGAAGAATTGGGGTAAGTGACTTTTTTTTTTTTTTGAGTTGGAATCTCACTCTGTTACCCAGAGTGGAGTGCAGTGGCCGCTCCCGGCCACCGCAGCCTCGACCCGTTGGGCTCCAGCGATCCTTCTGCCTCAGCCTTCCAAGTAGCTGGAACAACAGGCGTGCGCTACCACGCCCAGCTAATTTTTTGATTTATTGTAGAGATGAGGTCTTGC